TCTATTGATGCCACCTGTTTTATGGCATGTATATATGCTTATGATAACTTCTAGAAATTCTTTTAGAATGCTTACAATTCATATGCATTTAGTGCATAACATTACATACCAAACATTAACTCCACAAAAATGAAAAAAAAAACTTATGCATCTAACTCCACATTTAACTCAGTGGAGGCACATTCTGTTTTCAACTTATTTAAAAGATTCTTGCAAGCCAATTTCTTGGCTGCATCTTTGTTTGGAGCTGAGCAAATCTCACTATATATAGTGCCATTTACATCAACCTCCATTGTGATGAATGAGACTCCATCTTTAGGAGTAACTGATGGCTTCCTCATGATATAACCTCTCCCTCTGCAAAACTCATGCAACTCTCTTACTGGATGGAGAGTCACTGTTTCTGGTGTAACAATGGGCTCTAGAAGAGGAAGTATGCTTTCAGTCACTTTGTCTTCATTGAAACATGAATCAATTAGGATTGCCCCTGCAAGTGACTCAATAATATCTCCAAGAACCTGTCATCAAGAAATTATAAAAATATATAAGATATAAATTAAGATGGGAATAAGGGATAGCCGGATAGGAGTATCATATAGAAGTCTAGATGATGGTTGTGGTGCTGTATTTCAACCTTAAGCGGATCGTGCCCCTCGTTTGAGTTTAATAGGCTCTAATACTATATTAAGACTTCAGAGTTATACTTAAATTTCATGCAAATAGATAAGGACATTAGAACAATGCCTTATATGTGAGTTTGTATCTTTGTCTTTGGTCAATGTGGAATGTCTTAGCAACTATTATTCTTAGGCCCCTATCAATGGCATGAGGTACTTCAAAATTTGAAATTCATTAATGAACTTTAACATACCTTAGGAAAACTTATATCTGAGCTCCATCCAAAAGTTGTGGAAATACACAACTTCTCAACACTCTCAACAGTGTTTGTTATATGCTTTTGAAGGTCTGTGGAAAAATAGAGAATTTGCTTCTGTAACCCAAACTTGACAGCACATAAAGCATAACAATCGTTGTTCACCGAACACGACCTCATGTCAGTCAAAAGACCAGGAGTCAGTCCAGGATACTTATTGTAGAGGTGAACTGTGACTATATAATCAATGATGGCATCCCCGATGAATTCCAGGCGCTACACAATGTATAACAAAAACAACTCAAAAAGATCCCATAAAATGAAAGATGATATTTGGCAGATATGAGCATATTAACTAATTACCTGATAGCATCGTGGGATTTCGGATTGCATGAAGGAACCATGAGTGAATGCTTCAACAAGGAGAGACGGATCACGGAATTTGTACTTTATCAAGCTCTCAATATACCGCACATTAACAAACTTCTCGGCATTGATAGGGAAGTGTCTTTCTATGGGAGTTTTGGCATAATACATGTCCAAACCAAGCCAAACCATAAACGAGAGTGTTGCTAGTTCACCAGAAGTACTAACATATGCTCCAATAAGGGCCTCAGCAATGTCTGCAACTCTCTTACTCTTGATTTTTCTACCTCCCATGTTGTACACTTTTCTCTTGGGAGATATCACTTCCACGTCAAGCGACTTGTCTACCGAAGTGTCTCCAGGAATGGCCCATGTTTTTGGATCAAATGGTTCAGTACGGATAAATCCCTAAATGTTATGGGCATGGAACAACCAAATGAATTTATAGATAACCACTAAAATGTATGGAAAGTGACTCTGAGAACTACTAAGATCAATAAAATTATTACCGGAATTTTTCTATCACATGCTAGCTTGCACAAAGCATCATTGGAAACCATTTTTTCCTTTTTCAAACTAAGAAGCCCCTCATGGTCATTTTGATAAGTAGTGAATAGGTGCCGACTTGCAGCATATTTTAGAAAAGAGTCTCCCAAAGTCTCTAATGACTCCATGTGAAAATTTTCTTGGCACTTCTTTGTTGTTATTGCTTCCAAAATCTAACAAATACCAATAAAGAAGTAATTAACAACACATAGTCATCATGACTGCAACCTTACTAAATTTGTGATTAGCAATGTAAACTATTCTGATTAAAGATAGTTTACATCCCAACATAATGTTTTCCCTCATGTGCATAAATTGCTACACTGATTATGAAATTCAAGGAAAAAATATAATGGCTGCAAAAGCAAACCTGTAACTTACCTTAGTGGTGTGTATTGAAACGCTTTGCGCACAATGATCCATATGCAATCTTTTCAGACTCCTAGCTAACAACAAGGACTCTATCCGGTGGATGATTGATGGGAGATAAGAGAAAGAATAATATAAACCATGTGGAATTGGAGACATTAATATAGAACAAAGCTCCGGAGGCAACTGTAGTGAAGCGCCACTTGGTTCTACATATAACAATGTGTAGAGCAAATCAAGTAATGTTTAATAAATCAATTTATCTAAGCAACATTGTTATAAAGAAATAGTAAACCAAGCAACAACCAAACAACAACAATAAAATTATAACTACACAAAATAATGTGTAAAGATGTCAACCTTTTCCTTTCTCGGCACTGCTCTTTTTAAGGTAATTTCGCATCTTAGGTAAATATTTTGCATTAAGAAGTGCTTCTCTCTCATAGACTAAGTCGATCTCATGCCTGTAATAGGGTTTAGTTTCATAATCCTTTATCAGTAGTAACAAATAAACATTCATTACTCGCTCCGTCCAAAAACAAAGAGTCATGCTTGTAATGCTGTTTTAGTATTAAAAACATGACTCATTGTTTAGGATGGAAGTAGTTTTTTTGTCTTTGTATTTTCAAAGGCAATATTACCAACATACCGACTTTTGAAGTACTCTTTGTAACTCATGGACTCTCCTTTTCTTAGCTCCAAAATTGAGCTAGCATCCAAATCATGCAAAATCCCAGTAACACAATACAAAGTATCGTTGTGCGGAGTACAAACAAGAGAATTTTCCAACCTGCAGCTATATACCAAACCACTCTTGGTATTCACAAGCTTACAATCATCCATAGATTGAGAGAAGCAGTTTGTATGGTTATCCTCACGGTTTGTGGATGGATATATTATAGAATCAAGAAAGCTCCAGTTAATTGAAGCTTCATTATTAGAACCAATGGTCGGAAGAAGAAGATAATCAAAACTTGTAGAGTCCATCACATTACAATAGCCATCTAAACTTTCAGCCAGTTTACTTAAATCCTTGCGAACAAGAGCTCGTAAAAGAACGACTTGAAATATCTGACACCTATGTATCTGAAAATTAAGATCATTGACACATAAATCTTACTTAGCCTACATACATTTTAAATTTGTTTTCTTAAAAGTTTTCTAGATAAGTAGAGATATACTTACCATTTCAGAAGTTAGCTTAACTTCTCTAAGATACATCAATTGTTCTTCCTTGGTGTTTCCGTCAACGTTTAGTTCAAAAATCAACTTCTCATCATCAACTTCTAGCTTTGTCTTAACAGCAAGGATGACATTTTGAAACTGAGTATCACTATAAGTGTAGTGCTGCAACTCAATAAGGTAACAATAGAACACTGTTTCAGGATCATTGCCACGACAACTGATCAGCTCAGGCGGGAAATACCTTGCATGCTCATCAATGTAATCCACAAGCTCTGCGCACAAGTAAGTAGATGATTATAAACTCTTCAACGATATTTCCCCAGTAAGCATCAAAGGGTGCAAGTTCAGATTTATTGAGAATACAAAATAGTTCTTTCCACTATAGTCCTCTAACTTTTGTGGCAAGTGGGCATGTCGCTTTTGGTATCTGCGTTTGAACTTTTCCATTTGTAGTCCTCTGATTATTGTAATAAAGACATTTTTTTGTAATATAGACATTTTTGTGACAATGAAGACATTATTGTAATAATGACATTATTGAAAAAATGTCTTTATTGTAATAAAGACATTTTTTGAATGTTTACTTTGACTATTGTGACAATGACACTTTTTGTGCCCATCTTCCATTTTTTTCTACAAAAATTAGTATGATGAAAAATGTCACAGTCATTACAATTAGAGGATAAAAAGTGTCAATGTCAGTATAGTTTGAGAAGAAAAAATTAAAGTTCAAAGACATGTAGGCTGTAGCAAAAGTGTTTGTCATAATAATAAAGGACTAAAAGTGAAACAATTTATAGACCAATGCACACACACTTAAAGTTGAAAGAACTCAGACAAGAAATTAGGATGCCAATTTTGGTAATCACCTAATTCTTGGATGTCTTCTTTTTCCTCCATGATATCTGGTACAAGATTATTTGTCAAGGCACCAACTTGATGCAGTTGTTTGCAAGCTTCTAAACATGCCAATTGCTTCACAATTTTGATATCTCCCACAACCGTAACTTTTTGGATTTGGCAACTTTTGGGAAGATGGAGAGTGCATGATTTCGTATCTTTGTCAATATCAAACCTAGGAGCCGGTTTGAAATAGCTGCAAAGAAAAAACAATGATATGAAATTATGAATTTATGATGAAAGTTGAAAAAACATCAAATTACTAAGCATACAACTAAACACAATGGTGATATACCGGTCAGAAGGTAGCCTTGAGCAATAAAAGAAAAGCAATGATACACTAGATTTCATATTAACAATTGCTCCTGTAGATTCAACTCTGTAAGAATATTCATCATATAATTCACTGTCAAGGGATGAACATGGTTGAGAAGCATGACGTAAAGATTCCTTCCTCATTATCTCTCCACTAGCCAGATAATTATTCATACGAGCGAGGGTAGAACTGTCTCCACTAAGAAATTAACAAAACAGATGAAGTGTTAGTGAACTTGGTTAGACAACAAATGTTTCCAATTACATACTCAAATTACACTTTCCTATAATGAAGACATGCAATAGCTTTTGAAGCAGAAATAACTTTTCTTCTTTGTATAGGTCAAGTCTACCAGTATTGAGAAGTTATCATTCAAGAACATCATTGAAAGTAGAAAATTTAAAAATGTACATACAAAAAAAACATTTCAATGAAAAATTGAGTGGAATTTGGAGAGTAACTAAAGAAAACATAATGAAGTTTAAATTAGAGAGTAGAGACACAAACTCACCTTCTCACCATCAATATAAAATCAGAGTTTTGCATACGAGCACGACCACGTGACTGGATAAAGCTACAAACTGTTGTGGAGGGATCAAATCTTATTACGAGGTTGCAATTTTGAACATCAAGACCCTCTTCAAGAATAGAAGTTGCAACAATAATATTCACCTACATGAAAAATAGGAATACATTTGGGAATTCAAAATATAGAAGATATATATTCACCTATATATAGGGAGCGGTTCCGGTATGAACGGATCTTAGGAGAGAAATGAGAACGAATCTGGAACGTTGGATTGAATTATGTGGAATTGAATTGTGCATTTAGTGAAACCGAGATGTGCATTAGATGATATTGAAATGTGCTGAATAAAAATTTAAACTCACATGTGCATCAGGTGAAACTGAAATGTGCAGAATAAAAGGTACAAAAATAACATCACATCGTACCTTTTATTCTGCACATTTTAGTTTCATCTAGTACACATTTCAAATTCACCTAATGCACAATTCAGCTTCACATAATGCCACTACATCGTACCTTTGTGCTGCACATTTCAATTTCTCTTAATACACATTACAATTTCATCTAATGCACATTGAATTTCACATAAAGCAAATCTAACGGTTCAGATTCATTCTCATTTCTCTCATAAGATCATGTTCTTATTTGATCCCAAACATACACACACACATATATATATATATATATAGAGAGAGAGAGAGAGAGAGAGAGATTTTGGTTCAAATGAGAACAAGTCTTAACGTGAGAACGTGAGAACACATCTCAACCATCCGTTGACAACTTCCGATCTGCGCTCAACTTAAGTAAAAGAAGGGTATTAACGTATTTTAATCTTAAGCAGTATTGTAACCGTCGTTTGTAGTTAATATATTCATCTGATCCACTACTTGAAACATTAAATTTCATATAATAATAAATAAGGTATTTTATTTGTCACATACTCACGGAAGTAACGTTCCCATTTAGAGAACTTTTTCAATGTTTTTATGGAAAGTTAAATAAAGAAAAGAAAAGAAATTATCATTCACTTCTTTCATTTTTGCTTCATCTTGTCTTCATTTTAATGTTCATTATTCTTATTTTGCCTCTTCTTATTGGTTTTCATTTTCTAATCACTACTACATCAATTTTATATTTCTCATCTCTAATTATCATAATTCATAATATCTTAATCACTACTACATTAATCTGGTGCAAATGACTATAACTTACCGGAATCCTCATCTAAAAAAACTAACGCTACACCTTATGCACAATTCAAGCACTATCACACAACTATGTCATTCAAATGCACAATTACACTTATTTTTCACTCTGTGCACATGACTGAGTATCAGTTGCACATTCATGGTTTCGATATGTTTAACATACTTTACGCCTTAACATTTGCATATTTTGTTCACTCATATGCATTTGTACAATTCACTACTACACTATTGTGTCACTTAAATACACTATTTGGGATTGTGCGTTAGATACCAGTTCTTATGCATTATGTATTGATTTAGTTATCTATGTCCACACTAAGTGTTAAATACGAGTTCTCTATTGTATATATGTATTGTGTTGTAGATACTAGTTCATGTGTATTATATAATAGTTAAAATTGTATGACATCCTTATGGATTCGATATTAGTTCTCAATTGTTGTGCATTAAATACTGCATTTTGTGATTCAAATACTTCTTCCGGTGCTTTATATAAAAACTATGTGTGAAATACTACTTCTCGTGTGCATTAGAGATTGAGTGTTGTGTATTAGATACATGTTCTTGTGTGTGCGATAGATGAAGATAGTTGTAGTGATTTATTGTATACATAGTATACCTATTTTTTAAAAACAAAATTACATATGCAATATTGGTGTCAAACGAAAGATAACAAAAAATGATTTAATTTGGTAATTTTTTTTTTCTAAATTGGATTATAATTTAAAAGGTTAAACCATTTTTAAACTAAAGACATTTTATATAATTTGACTTTTTATTTTTACGTACTTTTTGGAAACGTGGAGGCCTACAATGATTACAACATTAAATGATTTCTCTAGAATTACTTTAATAACCTTTCTTAGTTCCACGTCCTTATTCTGTTTTGTACGATACATGCTGTTATGCGGTGATGTCCATCTTTCTATCATGAACCAATTACTTAATGGCCGATCATTTAACGAGATGGTGGGTTAAGATGTGTTCTCATTTCTCACAATAAGGAGTGTTCTCATTAGAACCACTCCATATATATATATATATATATATATATATATATATATATATATATATATATATATATATATATATATATATATATATATATATATATATATATATATATCACTCCATATTTAAATAGTGGATAAATGAACCATGAATAATCACTAACCATTCCTTTACGAAATTCTTCAACAATATCATTTTGAACTCTTCTACTTTGCGACTGCAACACAGAGGCATTTCCTGCTGTGTATTTTGTGTGCCATCCACTTAAATCCGTAAACATTTGATTTAATAGAGTTCGAAGAACAATTGCTGTTATAACCCTCTCAACAAATATAATACATCTCAAGTCCTTTATGTTCCTGTAAAAAATAGAGCATATTGATTTTGCTTTATTGACACTGATTTTAGTACTCTTAAAATCAATAGAAAGCTAGATGGTTTCACATTGGCACCTGTAATCAAGAAGAGTCTCTATTAGAGAAACAACTTTTGAAGTAAGATATCCAGCATCCTTACTGGTTCCTAGATCATTATCAATGTTGCACAATTGTGCGCCTATGTCTGGAGTACATGAACAATGGAAACCAATTGTGAAACTCAAGAATAACATCCAACATGTTTTTCTACTTATATTCCTCTCACTATTAAGGCAATGACACTTTTGGTTATTCTCTTTGAATTATTTTACTTTTAGTATGATACTCTTTTAAAAGAGACACTTTCTGATCAGTGGTGGATCCGACAGCTGAATGAGTGTTCAGAGTTATTTTGTAATTAAAATTATGCACAATAATATTATTTGATGAAACAATTCTACACATACATCTTTCCAATAACAAAAAACTGGTGAATGAAGTAAAGATAAAGAAGTATTACACTAGATAGTAACATATAATAAATTCTTGAATCAATTTTATACATGTACTTTTGCACTATTAATCTAAACTCTTGGGTGTTCACATGAACACTTGAGAACATGCATAGCTCTGCCAATATTCTGGTTTACGCTTTTGAATTTTTATACTTTTAATCCTTGAGCTATTGTGAGAGTGGACTCATCGCGCTTGTTTTTGAATTTAGCCATAATAGTTCTTAATTCAAAAGTGTCATTGTTACCATTGTTGAAGGCTAAGAACACCAAAGTCACTATAGCCAGAGGAACAAAGTGAAATATCATGGGGGGAACAAGTGTAGCCTATGTTTAGAGAGTATGATTCATGGGGATATATATATAGATTAGTAAAAGGTCGGAAGATTCAAATATCATATGTAAAATGGATAAGAAAATTTAGCTAAAAGTTACGGGAACATGAGAATTACCCGAAGGTAAATGAGTTGAGAAGATCTTAGCTACATCTAAACAAAAATCTCTCACAATGGTTTCAGCATTCTCATCCGAATTTCCCCATGATAAGATGTCTTTATTATCTAATGACATAGATTCCGCTGCCTAAATGAATCATATAACAAATGCGTACCGTCAAGCGTATACACAATAATATAAAATAAAGTGGAAGAAGTAGAAGTTTTACCTTCAATGCCAAGTAAACACCTAATTCAGTCAAACAAAACAAGAAGGTTGATGATAGTTTTGTCAATCTTCTAATTGTAGATTGCACATCGGACTCCGATAGATCTGAATGGGTTATATGTTGCTCACGCTGAAAACATGAACAAATTATTAACAAACGATATTCTTTTCACATAAAAAAGGAGAAGCGAATAGACAAAATTACTCTATGCTTGCATTTCAAAAGAATATATAAATACCTCAGCTTTCAATGCGTGTAAGTCCTTCACTATGCTTTCAAGCATTGAAGCAGGAATATGAGCATCTTCGTATGTCTTAACCTTTGCAGCGGCGAAACGGATGTGTTGAGCTAAAACAGCTTCACTAGCACATGTATACACCTTCATAAACAACATGGAAGTTATAATATACAAAATTGAATTCATATGGTGTATATATGATGGAAGTATGAACCAGTTGACTATAAAAACAAAATATACTACTGTAACTTTAAGTAAAACACAAATTTTGATGTGTATAATTATTATAGTTTTGTGCTAAAGATGTAAAACTCTTATGATGTGATCATTCTTGACCAAATCATAGGGTTTTTACCTCCACCCCACAATCCACACACACATATAACAACATGGAGGAATCTTATAAGCCATGCAAAAAAGAAGAGTATTCGTTCCACACTTGATTGGTATATGGTAATAAAATACTCCATCCGTCCCTTAAAACTTTGTTTCTACGGAAACTTTGTTGGTATAAGGAATCTTTCCTTTTTTGATTATCCAAAAAACTTGACATTTCCCCCTTTAATCAACCTATTTATGGTTCCTATAATTTCTCCCTCCTCTAAGCAAACAACAACCACACGGTTTTTACTTTATTAATCCCTGTGCCGGTCAAGCTTGGCAAAGTTTTGAGGGACAGAAATATACTATATAAGATTTTGGACTCCTCCTCCTATAAGATTAACCTTTTGGATGGAATTCAGGTCTTAACATGATATATCAAAGCCAGATCAGGTTGTGGTTTGATTATTGTTTAGTACTCATCAGGGGCGGATCGGGGCAAGGGGGCAGCTGCCCCCACTCAACACCCACCCGACCCCTATATATATATATCAAATTTAAAATTTTGTGTGAAGATATGTATTAAATATAAGTAACTTATACAATGTAAATGACTTTAACAATCACAAAGAGCTGTGGTCGAGTGAAACTTGTTGTGGGGCCTGTCCCGAGTTTCGTAATTGGTCTAGAGTTCGATTCTCAACTTCAACCACCTATTTTCTTCCTAGCTTTAGGATGTTTTCTTTTGGACTGAAATTTGCTGGTTTGGTCTGGTCTGATCTGGTCTATTAACGTTTGGTCTCTGTGTATTTTATAACTACGGAAGTCTGGTCTGTTTTCTTTTGGACTAAAAACAGTCCAAAAGAAAACATCCTTACTTTTACATTTTGAAGCTCTAAACTAATTTAAAGTTACTTTTAACATTCTATTTAAATTTTGGCTTGTTTGAACCACTTCAATATAATTACAATTACATTTTTTTACTTATAATTGTGACGTCGTTTAACAATTACAACATTTAATATAAATTGATTTTTAAATATACTTGTGCATTCGCAACTTAAGTTAACTCTAAATAAATATTTGATTCATTTCTTTATCTGATTCTTATTGCTAACATATAATTTTGAATAAATTACAAACTACTCCGTATGTGATTATTTTTTTTAGCAAAGTAAAAATCTATCTGTCATGACATTTTTAAGTATGATATCGTAATATTTTTGTCCCACGAATAATTTTTTATTTTTAATTGATTTTATACTATATTTTATTAATGTGGTCGTTGTTTATTACGTGTGAGATAGTTAATGCACGTACGCCCCCACTCACCCAAAATTCTGGATATATACGCCACTGGTACTCATGATTAAGGACAACTCATTAAGAGTTTGTTTGACTCATTTATATACTCCGATGTTGTCTACTTACAGTTGACCAATGGGTAAGTACTTTTGATTTTGAATCACCTAGCAAAAAAGCCTATCTACTTTATGTTTAGAATCTCGTTTGAAATCTTATAAAGGCATTTTCTATTTAATCATTTTTTCCCCAGTTCAAATCCGGGTGTCGCTTGATTATAAAGAATTTCAAATATCTTGTTGTTCATAGGATTCCTATAAAGGAAAAGGAGGGACTAAAGAAACAAGAACAACAACTACTAATTCATCAGCTAAAATATTACCGAAAAGCCGAAAACTAAGTGATAAAGGCTTTGTAGAAATCTATTTATCTACTTTTTTTATTATCAAAAGAGACGTATTATCCATTTTATTTTTCAAATGAGTAATTGATTGATTTGAGGTAAAAAGAATATTTGATGGATCTATCAAAGTGGCATCGCAAATTCTTTCTTAATGGAAACTTATGATTTTAGTAAAAAATTGGGCCGAATTTCATCAAATATTAAGAAGAGAAGGGGGTTAGTGATTGCTTGAACTCCCTCTACCCATCCCTTAGGGGACTGAGGGGGTGTGTTAAAAAGTTTTTTTTACACCAGATTGGTATAAAATAATAAAACACTATATAAGATCTTAAGCTACACTTCATATAAGGTTCACTTTTAGGATGAAACTCCCAGATTTTAACATATTTGATGGAGTAAAAAGTATTGTAAATAACATGTGTCATACATTACCCTTAAAAAGATCATTGTTTTAGTCAAGTAACTTATGACAGTTCATGTTAGGGAAATTGCCCTAAATAGGAGTAAACAACTTTGGGAATTCCAAAATATGACTACTATGTTTTTCTTCCCAAAATAGGAGTTGTTATTGTCATGATTGAAAAATATGGTCATGATTGAATAATAATGCCATTAATTATAACAAATATTGTCATGTTGAATGCATAATACTGCATAACAGTCATATTTTGGAATTCCAACCCCTATTTAGTCCCATTTTGGGAAATCTCCCTTCAGGTTATTAGTCGCCCCATAACTTTTCTTACTTGGAGACCATGTTATGTACCAAATAATTTTGTCTAAGTACTTTACACCACAATGTACATTTTAGATACCATACCCTCATTTATTAGTAAGATAAAGTAATACTTTTAAAAAAAACTTAGGTGTAAATGAGTTTCGGGTTCATAGGAAACTTAGGTGCATAGGAAGTGGACCTCGTGGGGTGTTTTGTTGGGAGATCTTCGATCTTGTCGCGTTCTGTCTGTTACAGCAATAAATGTCCAACGTTCTTATCTTTTAATGCAACGTTAAACGGACTGGTCATTGATGTCCAACGTTCAGGTCCATTAATTCACCATTTACACACAACAAATCCTCCTATATAATGGCTGGCAGGTGGTTTGCAACAACACACGATCTTATACGTTCATACACATTCCTCACATTTTTTTGAGCTCGAAAAACACCTCCAGCATTCCGAAAATTTCCTAAGTGTTCATACTGTGTTCTCGTTCGCTGGAACTTTTGTTTGTGTGCTCAAACATTAGTTCGTAGTCATCGTATCCTGGGAAACGATTGTTGCAACGCTCCTAGCACCGTGGGAGGCAACAAATACGTTTTAAGGACATCGTGCGTAGCACGAGCTTTGACTAATTCTGCTCCATCTTATTTATGTTTTCTTTCGTCATTTTAATTAATTTATTTTAATTAATTTTCTTTATTTTCCGAAACACACCCAACAGTAAGTAACTGGAATTAATAATCAAGGTCCAAAGATTAGGGCTAAAGATATATAGATCAAGATACATTAATTAAATGAACTCAATTGTCCT